TCGATATCTGTGGTATATAAAATGAAATTCGATCAAATGCACCGACACTTTCCATGCGTACTATTCATGCGTACCTTTGCATTAGGGGAAGGTTTTCTATCTAGACAAAGGTCGACTAGGTACGACAAATGTTTTGCAGCTAATCTCTGTAGCTCCTCGTTTTCCTCGCGTTTAATAGCTTCCATTAGAGGTTTTACTAAAGGATTAAGCGGTTGCGGGGACGGAGGAAGGCAATGCAACATCGTCGCGGCACCGGCAAGCGCAGCCATTGACATAACGTTGTGGGAAAGCTGTTGCGCTGCTGTGTCAGCAGCGCCCACTTCCAACGCTTTTCGCCTTTCCTCCAAACTTTCTATCAACTTTGGCTTTAATTTAATCGTACTCGGACCGCAGCTAATGTTTCCTCCACTCGGTCCTCCGGAACCTGTCGCATTGCCCATGCCGCTAAGCTCTGAAATTGGTTTCCCGGCAAGGCTTGCAATTTGATCGAGCGTCATTACCCCCGTTGCATCTGTTTCGATAGGAACAGGTAATTTATAATGTTTGAGAGTGGCAATGTAATCACGACTGTCGTGTATTAGTCGAGTGAAAGATGCGGCAATCTCGTCATAGTATACACATTCGTTTAAACACCCCAAGAGTTTGTCCCTTTTAAGCAAACACATAATTATTATGTTATACTAAATCAGCGGTAAGGAAGGACCCATTCCACGTAAAATCGGGTTCTTCTTAAAGTAATATCTCGAATTTCCTTTTCGAATTAGAAACGTAATATTAGCGTAAATATCTCTATTCGTTGATAGATATATAATACATTAGAGTTTTAGCAAAATCTGAAACATTACTTGAAAAAGTATCCAATATCGCGCGGAATGCGTACGAGATAGAAAGATTTATCGATATACCTGAGAATGTCCGGTATCGTAGGCGGTTTTGTATCGTTCACAGTCGCCCAGTGAGACATCGTCAAACCTGCGACGGTGCGCTGCAATGCCGAGCGCGAGTTAAGATGTGCCAGTAATACTTTAGCGTAACAAAGTGCAGGACTAGGTATATCCGGTGTATAAGTAACACCTGGCGCTGGTTGGACTACGTAATGCGATAGCAATCCAAGCATACGCGCGGCTCTACAACGAGCTTGGACCACGTTTGATTTCCTTATATTCTGAGCTACAGTCTCGATCCCACCGATATAAACTTTCAGTTCGGATATCGATTTTGTGTTTCCGCTTGCAGCGTTGTTTCCTCCGTTGTTACCGGTATCCGATTGCCCGTCGCAGCTACCGATAATCTGATTACTCTTAGTTCCTTTATTAGGCGAACTTATAGTCATTAATAAGTTTGGATTAAATGGCACGTGTTCTGGTTGCATGGCAAGGCAGAGCCACGTGCTGACCAGAGGACACGCCGCGTGCAATAATAGTTCGAGATCGCTCTGTACGACTAGATTCTCCCAAACGCGTTCGGCTATGTCTTGTATGGCAGTTACGTGCTCGATAAGTACACGTTGAAATACATGACGAAGAGCTTCCTGTAATACGAGTCCACCTCCTTCACCCCATCGTTCTTTTCGATCTTCGGTGCGAGCACCGTCATCTCCGGTTAACGTTTGTAACGTTTGCAACGTTGCTTTACGGACACTCGAACTAGAATGACTAAGAAATGGCCATAATCGTGGCAAAACCTACGATAACAATTTAATTTTGTTCACACTCACAGATCAGACATACATTAGAACGAATCGTTTTCTTTATACGACAATCGTTACCTGTGACAATGGCTGAGGTGTAAGACAAGCACGAGCCGTAGGTAGCGAAAGTATAGCAGCCAGTAGCCCCATAAAACTGTTGCATGCCGCTGCGAGATCGTCTTGTTCGCGTAAAAGTTCCCAGAGGCGAATTACAACAGCTTCCAACTCGGATGGTTCTAATAATCGTGGGAGAGCAGATGCCACTGGTATCAGCGCGCTGGCCGCAGAAGCGCCTACATCGTCAACAGGATCGGAAAGACCTTTCATGATGGCCGGAAAGACCCTTGGTAATATATCGTCTAGTAAATCGTCTCGTACGGCGAGTAAATATTTAAGCGCAAGTAATGCACCATGCCTCGCTTCCCATTCATCGTGTTCTAAAAGTTTCAGCATAACCGAAAGTATTCCCACGACACCCTTATTTTTTTCATCGTTATCTTTTTCATTTGGCACTAGTAACAAAAGAGAACCTAGCGCTTGAGCACACGTTTCTCGAACGGGTGCGACAACTTGATCGGAAACAAAGTCCCCGAATCGATCTAATCCTAACACACATAATAAACGTAGAGCGGCATCTATGATCCATTGATAATGAGCTTCTTCCATTTCATCCGCAGTCTGATCTCTCGATTTACCTGCGCCTGTATTAAATGGTCAGTAAAAGCCAAGTTTTACTATATTATTTTATCGTTACGTTAACGTCGACAGTTGAAAACTATCGAGGAAAATCATAAACGTAATATAGTATAAATATAAGATCTTACTATACCTACCTTTCCCATGGAGTTTAATAAGTTCTCGTAAAGCAGTCGCAGCTCCATGCCTTACTTCCCACTTTTGACTAAACAAGTCTTGACAAAGATTTTCAGCAAACGATTCTAGAGGCCAATCTATCACAGAATCTGGCCAGCAACCGGTACTGTCTGGTACTCCATTTGTTGATTCAGTTTGCGTATTACAATTAAGATTCATCTCCGATGAAATCACTTCTTCTAATTTTATTTTTTTATTTAACGATTCGCCTGTGCTATTAACGGGTGATTGAGCATTTGAATTATTATGATAGTCATCGTTGCTGCGATGGTCATCTGGTTCTCGCGAGCGTTGTTTCGAAACTGACTGACGTGCCTATATTCAAGAAATATTAATACATATATATTTCCAACAATACGATACATTAATACTTTCCATTCGTAATGTTTCAATCAGGGAAACATACTATAATATATATAATACCTTGCGTCTAGCTCTGTTCATTTCACGTCTGCTAAGTCCACCGGGTTGTTTTAACGTTTCACCCACGGACATTTTCATCTGTGTATTCGTGGTAGGTGATAATACTGCCGGTGTAAGATCCTCGGTGGTAAACAAATCCGACGTATCGACGCCCATTAATCTTGGATGAAGACCCAACTTGGCAGCAATAACTTTTTCGTCTTGATTAGGCGTTTGTTCTCCGTCGGCAGCAATTAAATCGTACTCGCTGCCTTCCGATCCAGTCAGATGCGAACTACGCGCCAAGACTTTTTCCATATCAAAGTCCTCCAAATTTAATCTATTATTTGGTACATGTTTTTTTGTTTCTCCGTCTTCTATTAACCAACAAGAATCGAAAATCAGCATTCGAACACGACAAACTATCTATTATTAAATGATGTGAAAACCTGGCCGATACCTGTACATATTTCTTTTTTAAAATATTGTGGATCCCAAGCAGGAACTTGAGCGAGTATAGCTTGCACAGCCTGTGCAGCCGAAACTCTTGTATCCCATTGCGGAGACTTCAAAAGAGTAGAAACTCTTGCTAACAAATGATGTAAATCGTGAGGATGTAACCTCTGCGCTTCTCCCAATTGTTGTGCTGCGGCTCGTTTAGTTACCGCATTTGTTCCTGTCTCCAATAGTATAAACAATCTATCCAACCTATGAAAGAACATTATTTATGTTGCGTGGAATCATATAATTAAATTAATCTCCTTTACATAGGGCATTATACAATGCGTGATATCATACCTTGATGTCATATTTACGAACAATATCGATCGACAAACAGCTATGAAAACCTGAAATCAAAATAAAAGTATCAACGTTTAACAAAATAAATATTATTGAACGTACTTTGGTTGTATGCTTATGTACGATAAAAGTACAGTAGGAAGTGCACTTAATGCTCCAGCTGTGTAAAATAAAATGGAGTAGAGAAATCGCTAAAAGTGTTTATACGTTATTTCTCGTGTGCCGATGAAAAAAAAATTATTATCCGGTAGAAAAAGAACGATTGTCAATTCCAAGAACGCAAATCTGTTGGAGTTTAGTTGATAAGGTGGTGACAATAGATGACATCTGCGAGGACGCGTTTTTTAATCGGTTTAAAAGATCGTGGACACAGGGGTAACGCGAGATTCGGGCATGACACAGTTTGTTTTAATTAAGAAAATTGAACGCAACGCGATGTCTGCTGGGATGCTACGAAAGAATCCAATATGTGGACGTATAAATAAATAGCGATCGACAAACACCTAAACATACCTGATTTTAAAATACAATTAATCCAACCGTTATTCTTCAGCTAACCCGCATAGCCGTTTCCCACTGTATTGATTCCTCGAAAATCACATTACGCTGCGTATTTTGAAAAAGTCGACAGATAGACAGACTATTTGTCAAATTTTTCGGAGAGAAACGCATGTTACAACCATCAAATTTATACTGACAGCCATATTGCAGGGGAACCTGACTTTTGTCCCCCAATTTTGCTCTCATTGGCGGATCAGGCACATCTTATCGATCGATCGACCAATCAACGTTTTCTTCGTGCAATAGTACGCATACTTGGTGCACAGTGCACACCCTGCACACTGCACACGATGGATTTATGCTGTGTACACATACCTTGCCGGATGCATTGGTTATGCTTATTCTACAATCAATTTGCATTCCATAATCTTTTATTGGATTTATCCTTTTAATTACGATTTTTCACAAATGTTTACGTATTCGTTTTAATTAACTGACCAGCTAAATTTTTCGACATTTCTATAGTGCTGTATTTTAGAATAAATTTACGTGTCATTTATACTGTGATATAACATATATCAGCGTGTGATGATTCGTTTACTATACTCCGCTTTAAAATAAGCGATACATAACTTTTTAGTAGTAGTTTTGTTTATTTCACACTGGATTCACTATTACTTAGCTATATGTTACTCGAAAGTTCTTAATCTAATTAATTTCATATAATACATGGTTACATGTTTAAAGAATCTTTATTTCACTTTACAAGCGTTCAAAATTTTTAACTCCTTTTAGTTAACTAATATATATCGTAGTAATATTCTATTTTTAACGAACACGTGCTCGATAACGAAGTCAAACTTTAGTGGTACTTGTAATTCCTGTGACCCCCTGAAAATCAAAACATGATATTTGTTTAAAATAATATATATTTATACAACTGTATTATGATATGATATTTAAAGTTTATTTTAAAATTTTTACTTACTGATACGATAGTAATTCAAATAATAGAAAAACATAGATCCTCCAACTACAATTTGAGCAATCGGAGCTATACCAGTTTTTTTAGGCAGTACATACTTATGCTGCCAACGCCAAAAAGCTGTAAATTAACAATAATTCTATTTTGAATTACGTTCCGCTAATAACGTAATAGAAATATTTTTCTCATCATTTTTTATATTAACGCATCTTAAGCAGAAACGATCTAAACTCGTTTCGCCGGTATAACGAATTATAGGGAATTAATTATAGGTTTTCATCTATGTCAAGACTAGAGATGAATGACAAGTTTCAAAGGTATCTTACGCGGATATGAAGAGAAATATTTCACTTTTGTAATAAGGTTAACAAGAAAAAGGCTTTGGAATAAAACGATCGTTATGCAATTTTTGGGCCACGATATAATGGCAACTGCGATAAAATATGTACCTCGGGAAAATAATCCCATAAGTTGACGGGGTCCCTTCTCGCGTCGTCCAATCCATGCAGGCACTTCTTTAAGTTTCAAGTCGCTGAAAGGGGTATCAGCTGTAAATATACGATATTTGATAATTAATTAATTTTCAATCGGAAGTTTAGACGGAAAATTAGTCGATAAAACTTACGTTTTCCGTAATATCGAGCAGGATCGTAAGGACCATGTTTTGCTGGATCGTATTCTGCAGGATAATCGCCAAATTTAATGTTTGACATGACGAAGACGATAGAGAAAAAGAATTAAAGAGGATAATTGATCGAATCTCAGGTGGCACGTCTCAACGAACGATCCACAGATCACCGCAGATTACGTTCGGTTCGGATGTGTGGTGTACAACTGTTTGGACGAAAAAGTCCCTAGTGGGTTTTTGTACTGTGGCGTCATCGGTGGGAATCACCGTCACTACACACACTTTTACCGACGTCGCAGTCGCCATCTAGCGGGAACAGTGCAAACTAATTTCAGTACAAACTTGGGCATTCTCCCACCGATAGCGCCCCACTGATACTAAAACCTGTATCAGTATAATTGAGATTGGCTGCTAGCAGGGGGCAGCGCTGCGGGGGTCGCTGTCAGTCGTTATGTTTGCCATCTCGCTCGTCGTGATCGATGCTTCGACTAAATAAGGCAAGGGCGGAACAAGTATTTCGGTGAAAAGTGTTTGGGGGGGGCGGCAGAAAACGACACGAAGGAGGCATTGAACTGATTCTCGTTGTTGAGTTTTTTCAAGTATTATTTAAAAGAAATAAACGGAATAAAGATGTCATATGAAACAAGTAAGTGACACGTAAGCGTTTCGTCGGCTATTAGTATTTATCCAGCAGTGTATTGCCATCTGTTTTGTGTGAATATCGAGTCATTCAATTTTCCGGTTGCTTATCTCAAGCCGAATCATAACACTTCAAATGTATCGGTGATTATCAGATACGTGGTGTCACGATAAACTGCAAACAAACCAATTATTTTTTCATTTTTATTTATTTGCAAGATTTACCACTTAAACGGACGCTATATAATTTTCATTTTTCATTTTGTAACACGGTTCCTGTGTCGCGCCGTGGCAATTTATATCGCACCATTTTAAACCTAACATTTTTATTGTCTAATTCTAGATAGTGCAGATAATTGAGATAACCGAAGCTTATCAGATACAATTCGATTCAATTTTGCAGATGAAATAAAATACAGGAATTATAATTGTAACGATATCGATAAAGAAACTACCGGAAAATTATACTTGTATATAAATTTATGTAAAGAGATTTACAATATAAGAGAATACAATATAACGTTGTAAATATGTTTGTTAACGTTAAAAAAAAATGACAATCTTAAATTGTGTTATTCGTACATGGTAAAATAATTGATATTTTAGACTGATATACAGTTTACACGCTCAAAATAATTTGAAATATTACACACTGGACTTATGCCAATGAATGGAGGAAGTATATTTTAGTTTCATCCGACAGATATATGCTAATATTCGAGTATTCTTCCCAAATTATAATTTGACTGGAAATTAAATTCTATTTTGTATTTTATTCAATCTTTCTTTTTATATATTTTATCGAATGAGGCGTACTATTTTTATTGTCTAATTGGTATTGCATTGGAAGACATTAATCAAGGTCTATATTGTACTTGCAGAGTACATATTTGCTACACTACCCAGGACACAGAGAGGACAACCTCTTGTACTAGGAGGAGATACGAAAGGAAAGAATTTTTTATACACTAATGGAAATAGCGTCATTATTAGAAACATCGATGTGAGTATCATAATAATATCCTGTTTTAAATCTGAATAAATTTTTTAAATTCCGTCTTGTTTCAATTGTTTTGAATTTTTAGAATCCAGCTATCGCAGACATTTATACGGAACATTCTTGTCCGGTTAACGTCGCTAAATATTCTCCGAGTGGATTTTATATAGCTTCGGGTGGTGTGTAAAATATTACAAGAGCATACTTAGAGAATAAATTATCTGTACGTAATAATACATAGAAAATATATAACGTTCTATGTTACAGATCAATCGGGTAAAGTACGTATTTGGGACACCGTTAACAAAGAACATATTTTGAAGAATGAATTCCATCCTATCGGAGGACCTATTAAAGATATAGCATGGTCACCCGATAATCAGCGTATGGTAGTAGTCGGGGAGGGAAGAGAAAGGTGAGCGACGCTGTTTTTCCAGTGTAGTTTCAGCATAAGTAATGGTTCTAATTTTTATACGTGACTTTAGATTTGGTCATGTATTCATGGCGGAAACCGGTACATCTGTAGGTGAAATTTCTGGTCAGAGTAAGCCAATTAATTCGTGCGACTTCAGACCGGCAAGACCGTTTAGACTAATCACCGGGAGCGAAGACAATACCATTGCTATTTTCGAAGGCCCGCCATTTAAGTTCAAGTATGTATCGTATCGAGTACGATTAATTTTAATAATCGAATGACGTTAATTACGATTAATACTCGACACTATTATTTATCGCTTATACAGAATGACAAAGCAGGACCATACCAGATTCGTGCAGGCCGTGCGTTACTCTCCCAGCGGCAATCTGTTCGCATCCGCAGGATTTGACGGGAAAGTGTTCATTTATGATGGTACAACCTCCGATTTAGTTGGAGAAGTAGGATCACCCGCCCATCAAGGTGGAGTATACGGAGTAAGCAAGTCAAATATTCTTTGATTCTGAGGTTTAACGTGAGCTTTGTACGTGTTTTTGATTACTTTTTTACGATTTCTATAGATAGCTTGGAAACCCGATGGAACACAATTATTAACTGCCTCCGGTGATAAAACATGTAAACTATGGGATGTAGAAACTCGCTCGTTGGTTAGCGAGTTCAATATGGGTTCAACAGTCGATGATCAACAGGTATGTCGTGTTTTCGTTAAAATGATCATAGTTAAAATACTTGGAGAATAATCTTTGTAAGAATATAATGAAACTCGTCTTTTCTAGGTCAGTTGTTTATGGCAAGGAAATCATTTGCTGTCCGTATCTCTAAGTGGATTCATTAATTATCTGGATGTTGACAATCCCGAGAAACCGATTAGAATAATAAAGGTAATGAGAATTCGGTCGTGTAAGAGAATCACTGTATTAAAGGACATTGTTTCATTTGTTTTGCTTTGCAGGGTCATAATAAACCGATAACAGTATTAACTTTGAGTCCTGACAGAAGTACAATTTATACTGGATCTCATGATGGTTATATTACCAATTGGAATGCACAAACGGGAGAGAACGATCGTGTTCAGGGCCACGGTCACGGAAACCAAATTAACGGGATGAAAGCTGCTAAGAACTTACTTTATACCGCTGGTATCGACGACACCTTGAGAACCATTGAAATACCTACAAATGCATATGTGGACACGTCTGTAGTTAAACTAGACTCTCAACCGCGAGGTTTAGATATTTACAATGATATAGTCGTAATTGCAACTATTCGACAGGTAAGATTTCGTTATCACTGGCAATGTACACGATAGATGATGGTTCTCTTCAATTGATCATTTACTTTAGCGGGTAATAATTAGTTAATAATAAATCTATTTCTAGATCACCGTAACTCAAGATGGCCGGAAGGTATCGAGTGTACCTATCGATTACGAACCTTCTTGCGTATCGATTAATCAAGAAAATGGTGATGTAGCCATAGGTGCTACATCAGACAATACAGTACGTTCATTAAATTTAATCTACTACTTTAATTTACTTATTACGAAAACATGATACGAGAATGTTTAATTTTTAGGTTCGTATCTATACACTGTCGGGTACGAACCTGTCTCCGAAAACTGAATTGGAACATTTAGGTCCAGTGACGGACGCCTCTTACAGTCCTGATAGCAAATACTTGGTAGCTTGCGACGCAAACAGAAAAGTGATCCTTTATGTTGTTCCAGAATATAAGGTAAAAATTACTACACGATTCGAAGAAATTATAAAATGTACAGTTGCAAGTAGGATACTAGCTTCTTTTGAATTCAATGTTTCTTATTAAATAGTTATTTAACGCAGAGTCTCCCTATTGCTACTGCTACTAAATTATACCTTATGCTTTTAATGCGCATAGTGCGAATAATATCTTTCACTGGCGATATACATATACGCATAACTGCTAGTACCTATATATCTTATACATGAATTTGTTTGTAACGGTTGCTCCTCCTAAACGCTTATGGGATTTTTAGAGGGTGAGTAGAGCCTTCGCTTAAAAGATATCGTTGCGTATAGAATAAATTTAACAAGACATATTTTGATAAAATATAATGTTGCAGCTTGCACATAATAGGGAATGGGGCTTCCACAATGCAAGAGTTAATTCCGTAGCATGGTCTCCCAATTCAGATATGGTTGCAAGCGGTAGTCTTGATACAACGATTATTATCTGGAGCGTAACAAATCCAGCGAAGCATACCATCATTAAAAGTGAGAATAATTATTGTAATTATTTCTTTGTACTGCTTTTCAAATTGTTTATTTCGCGCCGTTGTACATTTTTTGTTTCAGATGCTCATCCACAAAGTCAAATAACGCGTTTAGTTTGGATCGATGAGGAAACATTGATCTCAGTCGGACAGGACTGCAATACTAAAATATGGCGTATAGAAAAGATTTAATTAATTTTTTGAAATATTTATCTGTTTTTAATTTTTTTTTTTAAAGAGCTTATCTTTGAATGCATTTTATTTATTTTGTAGTCGATAGCGAATGGATATTGTATATTATTTTTTAATACGATTTTTGACCTTAATCGGACTTTACTGTGATCCTTTTATATTCGATTTTTCAAACAATCAAAATGCGTAAACTTTACAAACGAAATTACCGCACGTATCTATTTTACATTTTTGCGCAGTGTCAATTACAAATAAAGTTTCTACATGCTGTAATTATTTTTTTAAATGTTTACAGTATGACTGACGCAGTATACCGTTTTTAATTCGTCAATTTTTGACTGGGTGATTGTAAAAAGAATTATCTGTGAAAAAAAAACTCAAAACGAACAAATTTGTCCTACTCTGTTGTCTTTATTGAAACAGTGTAACGATAACAAGAAAACAGTAACAATTCGAACACTAAGGGTCTCGAGGAACGTGATCACACTTTAAGTTATTTGTACATTTAAAAACAAAATAATTGAGGTGTTACTATAATTTGACTTATTCTTAATCAGTCTAGTACTGAATGTCTCTTAAAAAGATGAGGTACATAAGTTTTTATAGAATCGCCTCCTAAATTCACTCGTTTAATAAAATATTCAACAGCAACGTTTACCTTTTCCATGGAAACGCAGTTGAGGGATTATATAAATCGGGTAGTCTTTATATTGCTTCTCTTTTTTTTCTTTTTTTTTTTTGTAATTCATTGTACTTAACAACGCTATATTGGACATTGTTCCAACTAAATTATGATAATGTGACTGAAGTATAATTACACGAAGCGTGTAATTTAAATAAGGAAGCGCTTTAAAAACTTAACAATAAAAATCGAAATACTTTCATAACGATTTGACCTTTTCTCAATTGAAAATCCGGTACTTAAAAGAGAATTACCCTGAAGCAATAAATAATGAAAATCAGAAAATTCATTTCCTAACCTTTAATTTTAATTCTCAATTTTTAAGTTAATAATCGACTTGAATAACAACGTTAACTTTTTAGACAAATTAGGTAACCTAAAATAAGGGCATGAATTAATACAAGATATTCGTCTATGCAAATAATAACTATTAGGGTTTGGGTGTATTATATCGCGAACGTTTTTGTGGCGAAGCCACTGGATGTCTATACGAAACGTGTTTCCGGAGTGCGTCTCGCGATCTTGATACGTGCGAACAGGCCGTACAGCTATACGAACTATTACTATGAGTTTCCATATGTACCCGCAAATTATATTGATTACTTAATTGTTTTCCACAGATAAGGCAAGTGACACTGGATTTATTGTAATTTTGTGAAGTTCTTCCGGCCACGGAACTAGTAAGAAATTTGAAATTTGTGTCCCAAACAGGTGGTGGTTTTGTTTCTTCTACCGGAGTAATTTGATCTTCTAAAATTGGTGTACCTTCATCCATTCCGCTATCCGAATATCCTTGCTCGGCGTACTTGTTGGGCGAAGTATTAACAGAAGGAATACTGACTTTTTCTCTTTGATTTAGTTTTGCATTAATGGAGTAATAAGGCTTAGTTTTCACGCAGTACGATATACTTTCTTGATCATTAAATGGTTCTTCTATATTTTCCGTTACATCTGTTGCCAAAACTGTTTCTAAGGACTCTCCGCTCGTGACACTGTCTTTATTTTCTTTCTTTATCGGTGCTTCGGGTAATGTTTTCTCTTGTAATTGCGTCGATGGTGTTTGGACGTATAAACCATTGTCGTGTCTCGAATTTTTCTGTAAACGAAGGAAGGAAGCAAATTATAATTTTCCAAACACGAAACATTTAATTTTCAGACTCGAATATTGGCTACGATTCTCTTCACTCTCACACGTTTCAGCTTTTATTTTTACGATAGGCACCGAAGAGTATCAAATTATCTGTTCTACCTAGCCTCGAAGATCGTTAAACATTTTGTTTAGTGTTAAACAAATATCGGCAGAGTTTTATCCCTAAAGTTTTGAGAGTATCGTATGTTCCATAATAATTCTAATATACTAATTCTTGAAAATAATCAAATTTAAACTACAGTTTTATCATTTTTATCATTTATTTTTATGGTGTGTCTTATACTAGTATGTTATTCTGTGTAAAAATTATTCATGCACTGCTTTTCTCTGTCCTTTTAATAAAAATAAGACTGTTAAATATTTATACATCAATTCTAAATATTTGTTATAGCCACTCTTGACTAAAGTATTAAGCATTATTGTAATGCAAAGTACATATGTAAAAAAACGAGTTGATCGTTCTAAAATATCTACCGAAAGTTTGGTTTAGTTCGTGTAGAGATTCTTGGAAAAAGCTATTTTAGATATACCTGTAAACTCATTCTATGGGGAAAGGTTCCATGGGATGCATCCACTTGCATTTAGTTGCAACACACACAACGACCTTGATCTCGTGGATATCGTTTATATTCATTATCGTTCCTTCGATGCACGCATGAACATAATATGTGTAGTAGGTAATTCCTTCGTGAGGTACTTCTTGAGGAACGACAGTGAATGTATTTAAGTGACCTGAACAAAACAACACGATCATAGGGTAATATAAAGATTAAGAAAGGAAGAAGCGAATATGTAATTTGTTTTAGATATTACTTTCTTATGATACTCTATTAAGGAAGTAATATTTAATATTGGAGCATCTTTCAACACATTTAATTGTTTAATGTTTTGCATGCAATGTATGAATATATCGTGGGAAATGCGATAAGTAACGAAATAATGTACTATAAATGTAATCCAGAAAAAAGATAAGCATAAATTTTATTCTATAAAATATGGAAATCCAAATACTTTGTTAAATTCAATTAACAAGGTACATTAATATTACTATGATTACTGCGAACTGCACAATGAAAGTGTGATTTTGTCAACATAAAACGTATTTATAATTCTGGAGAATATGTTACGTAAGGAAGTAACCAGGAAGGAATCGCTAATGTTTATATATGGCACTGAAGAAAATACATGCTTTGTTACTTATGTTTTATACAATTCACACCAAGGCAAGCTTTGTTAGACAAGGAATAATAATTTATCGAATAATACCGATTACCTGTTGCTACAATACGATGCAATTATTGCTTCGAAATTAATGCCGCTAAATTTTAAAATAAGATTTTTTCACGACTAAAAGTGAACGATTACGTTTTATTTTAATTTGTATTACGTTCTTCCGAACTTTGTAGAAAGTTAATCGCATAGTATTTGTACTTGAAACGCAATCATGCTTTTGATGAGCAAAGCATTAAAACAAGAGGTTTGGTAGAACAGTTGTAGAAAAAATAACAGACAAAAGTATAGTACAACGAGTCCTCGAGTTATACAGTTGTGCTCCTTCTTATGTCCCTGTCATCTTGTAAACAATGTTATTACATTTTTATTCTTATGTTAATTTTTCTCGATGCCTTACTTTTGTTTTAAGCTTTTTCCAAATTAAATTTGTACGACTCAGCTGACACAGAAAACTCTGTAACGAATTAACCACATAAGTCGAGGACTTACTGTATTCCAAGAATAAAAAAATACTCATTCAAACAAAATAATAAGATATTAGAATCCTAAGGTATCGTTAACTATGATGCGAACTTACCAGTCAAAAATATTTTGCGCAATTGCTGCTTTGTACGTTTACTATATTAATGAAAACATAGATGAATTTCCTTACCCCGGCAATGTCAGCTAGGCCACGAATATGCAGAGTATCAGCCATAGCCAAAAGCGCAGGTAATTGTTCTTGATAAATATTCACTTCGCCGTTATACATAAATGTAACTAATGCGCATAAATTCGCATATTCCATGCCTGGTAATACGATTACAGGATGTTGCAAAGAACTTAAATCCTAAAAATTTATTTTCATCGATATAATACAATAGTCGAATCATTTGAAATCTCATTGGTGACAATATCAGTAAAGTGCGTTTAATAATTTAGAAAATTGTGCAGTCGATACCTTAAATAATTCTTTAAAATAGTAACTGCAAGCTGAAAGTATAATTTTATGCGCGTGTATATGTCTACCGCCGGCGCTCAATGTGACATCTGTTAAATAGCCACCGTCTAGCAGTTTAGGAAGAGAGCTCAACAATGTGTTTTGAAAATTGTGCCACCGCAAACAAAATTGTTGACCCTCCATATTTTTTACACTGTGAATCAAAATGATACAACCTTTGAAAATTAACTTGTCTGAACAGCTGCGTTATGGTTTATAACACTGGATATTTTCATTGGAATAAAAGAATGTCACGTTCAACATTTGTTCGATTTATAAAATATCTTAAGACGGTAAAAGTAAATAAAATTAAGAAAAAATTTGTTAACATAATGAATGATATTAATCATAATAGCATGATCGATTAGACGAATCAATTTTCGTTGAAACAAAACATTTCTGTGTAATTTATTAGCTAGAAGACTACTTAGCTGATAAAATAAGAGTACCTTACAATCAAAATTAAACTGCGAACAAACACTGCACACAGTTAACAAGGTTATGTGTCTTGGAACTCTTAATAAAACGGCAAAAAGTTTCGTTGGATTTGATTGAATCTATTTGTGCCGAGCGGAAAGGTAGTTGGGTTACTGCTGCTGGTAGAGCACTTCGGGAGATAGACAATACTATTTATTTAATCAGGCTGCAGGTTCCAGCCAAGTCTATTATTGTACTTTCAGGTATGGCTGGAGGAAAGGACAGATATTATCGCGACAATTTGTAGAAAAAAAAAAACAGAGAAAAACTTTTGCTCGCCTGTCGACAATTGGCATAAAATTCACCGTGATTTCGTAGCGAAATTCTACACTTTCACGTCGTTCATCCCTTACCTCGAAGAATTCGTTTGATAAAATCGACAAAGGTATTCTTTATACGACACTTCACTGCTTCCATCTGGCAAACTTCGGTAGCGTAGAAAAGTATAATAATTGGACGACGTGTGGTCACGTTTTCCGAACCCTCAACTAGATGGCTGTGCATAGCAATTACCAACCGATTCTAAAATCACTAGATTCAGACGATTGCATTTCAGACAGATGGAACAGAATATCTCTTCCTAGATAACAATTCATTTTTATTTATTTATAATTTATAACATTTCGGATAACATTTTCGCTAAGGAAAAAATTGTTTCAAATCACCTCCCGAATCACCTATTTCAAGGTATTACAACATTTTTAGGACACCCTGTATATTACTTTGTTATCTACTTTTCAGCTACGTAAAAAGATTAGTTTATAGTTAAAAACTATTGAAGAAAATGTTTCAACGTTATTTCAGATGAAACTGAGAATGTCACTGAACGGTAACATAAAATTTATTTATTGTGAAACATGAAATGTAATGACTACAAATGTGTCTGTTCTTAGTTGAACTGTATCCATGAAGACTGTATCATACGCGACTACGTGTTACGTACAGTTGTAACAGTCAACTATACAATATAGTCTTTACGAGATGGCGCTAGAATTTATATTTGTTGTTATCAGAGCTTACCATGGTTCATCGGTGGACCTCAATTGACCAATATCTATCGTATTTTAATGAAATATCGGGATAAAATGTCGTCTGCGTTATTCCACGTAAACGTCCCAACAAAATGAAGTATTTAAGTAATCAATCGTTCCGCACTTAGAAAATGTCTAACGCGCATTTTTGGAAACGAATATGGTTTCTTTTGTTGTATATGCTTTTATTTATATTCCCGCTGATTGACAGCGATGATACAAATCAATTGACGTCTTGCGAACGAAAATCTTCGCGCAGGTAAATAATAAATGGTTACTTCGATTTAATCCTATTTAGATTCAACTATTGATACTTTAGTCTGAGCATGTCTTGTTTATTTCGATCGATTATTATTTACATAATTTCTCACTAAGAATTGCCTAACAAGTATTATTTGTATGAAAGAAAAAGTACGACGATTTAAATAAAAAAAAAAGCTAAAATTATACAAATTATATAACGTGAAATGTTTCGTTATCATTAAAAGTATTTTAATAAGTTATTGTCTTATTCGGTGTTTTCCTCTGTCTCTATTTAACTATGATTGAAATTAGGTAAATAAGGAGAGTATTGTATTTAGAATTTTCTGAAACACGTTATGTATTTTTTTTTTCAGTTTATTGTTTGTGAGCACATTGGATGGAAAAATATCTGCTTTAGATGCTAATAATTTAGGAAAGAAACAATGGACCTTAGATTTGAATGGAGGACCTATGCTGTCATCGAGTATTCATCGCAGAGAAGTATGTGAACATTAAATGTTAAGAAGCAACTATTGCAAGGACTATTAACCAGCTGTTATCAAATTAGAAAAATTATGTTAAATTAATTGATAACCAACATTAAAGTACCCCGATCATTCTTTGTAGTTGAACGATAATGGACAGTGGGTTCGTTTGATACCATCTTTGAGAGGTGGATTATACAAATTTGATGGGGAAAATTTAGAAGCAATACCGATATCTGCTGTACAGTTATTAGATTCATCTTTTCGGTATTCCGACAACTTAGTATTTTCTGGTGGCAGAGAAGTGAAATCGTATGGTAAATATTTTTAAATGTATATTTTATACGACACATTTCGTATTGAAAATTATTTATAGATATACGAATGACAGGACTGTTTTCCTAACAGGCGTTTCAAGTACAACAGGCAAAGTATTATACGAGTGTGGAATAAATGGTTGTACTAATAATACGAGAGGAGAATCGTATATCGAACAGGACGTGCTTATCATTCAACGATTTCAACAAACGGTAAGAGCTGTTGAACCGCGTACCGGCATCGAAAGGTAAGTTGTAATGTCGCGTAGTTTGAAACTTTGAGGCTATCGTTAATAAGACCAAGATAATATTTAAAGAACTTATATTTAAATAGGTGGAACTTCAGTGTTGGACAGCATAATTTAGTATCGGTCTCTAATTCTAATAATTATTGTCGAAACAAAGCTGAAGATCAAGTTTTAGATATTGAAATTAAAGTTGTCATTCCCGATGGATTAATTTGGGCTATCAATAGAAACAATCCTACTGTAAAATTGTGGCAATACAAGGTTGGTTTTGATTACATATAGAATGAATACATTTTATCCAACCTCTACATTATATTGATTGTATTTACATCTTGCTAGTTTGATTCTCCAATCATTACCATATGGCGTGAAGATGCGGATAAAAACGATAAGCATAATAATTTGAAGGAAATTAATTTATTTGATAGTATGCCATGGTTTCCTGAAACAGAATTTTCAACAAGCCCGGGCATTTATTTGGGTATGCATGATCGCCAGTTGTACATACAAGAAAATGCGGCACTGCACAAATCGTTAGAAGCATTACCACTGTATACACAGCATTCAAAATATCCATGGCAGCCTTATCCTGCTAGTGGTATGAAAGTTTTTGCAAAAGTAAATAAACATTTTTTATTTAGTATTTTATGTGAAATTTAATAAAATACCACTTATTCCAGTTACTACCGCAGATATAAAGGCTCTTCCAGGTCCGGAAAACAGTAACGATGATAATGATATTTTACCTGAAGTAAACGATACGCAAAGTACCACTGCATTGTCAGTTTTGTATAATTCCGAATATGTAAACGGTATAAAAATGTCACGGATCGATTATTTTTATATTTCATAATAAACAAGTGGAGTATTTTTTGTATTAACAATGATTTGTTTCGATATATAAATTTTTGTTTACAGGAAATGGGTTTTACCTGTTTTCAGAGGATCAATTACAATTAGATAACAACAAACAGTGTAATCGTACAAATTCAAATTCAACGCTCGCAAGAGAAGAGCAAAAACTAATTACATCGAATGGTACTCATAGCAAAGATGACGAGACACCGGTTCAAGTTATAATCGTTTCATTGTGGTATTGGTGGTATGTAAAATTAAGAAAAAAGACAAAATACTAACCTTTAATAGAAAATTATTTTTAACAGGAAGGAAGTTTTCATTATTTCAATTACTACTGCTTTTCTACTTAACTTTGTGTTAACGCAACGTCTATTAAATGCTACTACAGTTGCTAAAGATGCAGTACTTCCGGTAAAGTATATTATACATAATTTATATGATAAAATAAACTTATACCCGTATAGATTAAAATTATTTGTTTTTTCCAGCCTTTAATAGTGGAGAGGCATATAGAGACAAATAAAAATAGTCCCCAGATAAGCAGTGACAAAGAAAATATTGATAATTTTACATCGCGTTACCTCACAGATTTTGAGCCAGTGGATTGTTTAGGAAAAGGAGGTTATGGTGTTGTTTTCGAAGCAAAAAATAAAATAGATGATTGTAATTACGCTATTAAAAGAATTGCTCTATCGAATAGGTTCGTTAAAAGTTCGAATAAATTTAACTATTTTCGAATACAACAATTTTAAGTTTCTCGATCACTTTGTTCGATTTACAGTCAATCTTCGAGAGAGCGTGTAATGCGAGAAGTAAAGGCATTAGCCAAATTGGACCATCAGAACATTGTGAGATATTTCAATGCATGGTTAGAATGTCCGCCCGCAGGATGGCAAGAAAAACATGATCCGAAATGGCTGAACCAGTTAAGATTACCAACAGAATTTCCTTCGGACGCTACTAATGTTGAAATGAAAGTTACTGATTCAGTTTGCATCAATCTTTCTCAAACTGATCAATCGTCGGTAGAGAGTGCGTGCGAAGCTTACGATGCATTGAATCATTGCGATATGGATGAAGATTCCTATATCGTCTTTGAAAAATCTCATTCAATGGGTCTATATGAAGATATAAGCGGCATTGATAATTGCAGTAACGAAAGTTCGAATGTATCGTATTCGAATAATGTAACTAATAAAATGCTATCTAAAATCGATAACCATATACACTCTGAAAGTATCATATTCGAACACACGGATACTAGACATTCAAAAAAAGATGAAAACAGGAAACGCCAAAGATCATTTTCTTTAGATTTGAATAACAAGCCGAATACACGTCGGTCTCCGAAAATGTTCCTTTATATACAGATGCAGTTGTGCCAAAGGCTAAGTCTCAGAGATTGGCTAAAAAATCAATCGATGCAAGATTATCGTCGTGTATTGAATATATTTCAGCAAATAGTTGAAGCCGTGGAGTATGTTCATTTGCAAGGGCTTATTCATCGTGATTTAAAGGTAATACGTGAAATTACAATTTTATTTTACATTGTAAAAACTAAAAGTTTTCACTTCTCACGTGTAACTTTTGAATTTTAGCCCTCGAATATATTCTTTTCTTTCGATGATAAAATAAAAGTTGGTGATTTTGGTCTTGTAACCGCGATGACAGAAGGGTACGACGAAGTTCGTACTCCTACGCAGAAAGAAAACATTACTCTAAAGAATAGTTCGCATACCGCGTATGTGGGTACTCATCTTTATATGTCTCCTGAGCAAATGAAAGGACGAGGCTACAATTACAAAGTCGATATATATTCCTTAGGAATCATATTTTTTGAACTTCTGATTCCATTTGTTACCGAAATGGAGAGAATAACAGCCCTTTTACATTTGAGAAAGTCAGTGTTTCCAAACAACTTCGACACCGACCACCCAGCCGAAGTAAGAAAACAAGAGTATGTATTTATCTCGATGTAACTTCATTAAATTGCATTAATTATTATCTTTTTAGTATGATTTATTAAAAATGATGTTGGATGAAAATCCTAACAATAGACCTACAACGTTAGGTATTAAGGCAAGACCGCCATTGAAGAATTACGAAATAGCCAATGGATTTTGCATTAACGAAGATTCAAAATGGCATTTTGAACTTCCTCAGTTAACGAGACATTCCTCCGTGACTAATAGCAGTAGCGGTGAATCTTGGGAAAACATTAGTTGAGTAATTATACACCCATAACTAACGTAAGTATCACGAGATGCAAAACTATATTTTATTTATTTCATCGATTCACTATTTTATAAACTTGAATGTTATATCAACGAGAATACTTGCTCAATATATTTTATTGTAAAACAGCATTTATTCTGTGCATATGAAATGCTCTGTTGTATCGTATCTAATTGTAAATGCAAGCTACCGCGTTGCGAAGGGATATTTATATAAATATATTTTTTAAATTTTAATTTGTGTTGTCATAAATATTTTTCTACTAAAATCATATTATCTCATATTCATATGACTGAGAGAACGTTGATATTGCTTTTTTAAATGTATTGTTAATAAGCGTGATTATACTTACTGTTGAATGAATTGAAAACTATAAATAAAAATTAATTTTTATAAGCATCATTTCCCTTTTCGTATGCTCGATAAAAAATTAAATTATCTTCTGTAACCCCTGATGTAATTTCATTTGCAGCTTGTCGACTACCAAGTAATACTATTCCATCCTTAGACTGAACAAAGTGTATGATAGAAGTAGATTCATTGTTAAATATTTGTGGTAGTCTACAAAAACCATGTCTAAAAAAATAATCGTATAATTTAATTCAATGACACATAATTTGTATTTCTATAAAATTAATACTTTACCCATTTCGAGCATCATGTAATATTTCTAATAATAACCAAGCCGTCATGATTATAAAACATGTAATTGTGACTCCACAAACGAAACACCATTCTTTCCAGAATTCATTTTCCAATTCTATAATTAAAAGTTTAACATTTTCTTTTATGGAACATAATTAAAACAAGATATTCAAGAGTAAATGAAATGGTACCACCTTTATTTCGATCTATCACAGTAATTCCGAAAGTGAAGAGAGCTTGACCTGTACCTTTGAACGATTTATTTTTATAACGAGTAATATAACACGAATAAAAATTTTCAATTTCGTCACGGCTCTTGTAACTTGCAATACTAATAGTACTGACACGATTATCGTCCTTCAGGTCGAAAAAGTCGCTATTCGATAAAAGATAAATAATTACAAAAAAAAAAGAACGTTTGCAAAAAAAATTGTAAAATATGCAAAGAGTTTACTTCTTTCCATAAAATAGCAATAATTTATCCATTAATAACCATGTAGTATATGTTTTTTTAGGAAATGTATGCATTTCCTTTTCACGAGGAATTGTATCGTAGAAGCACGATATCTTGAGCTGTTGTCCTAATAGTAACGACATTTCTTCATAATAGTCTAAAAACTTACAAAATTATGTTTCGAAAGTATGGCAAGTGTAGCGTTTAATAATAATAATTATTATTATTAATAAGATAATGTATTAATAATTACTACCAGATATACTAATAGTGCGGCTCGCAAAACGTTTACTCGACGTGTCTAAAACTGGTAATGATAGAAGATCTACATCATACCCATCTACATTAAGGTATCCAAGAATAAAACTCATTTGTGGTATTTCTATACATTTAGGACATGTTTTTTCCTATTGTAAAGAAAAAGACATTGTCGCAAACGTGAGAATAATAGGCCTTCCACGTGTTATTTACCCTAATCTCGTCACGTATAGCACCTATGATTATGTTACTCGCAGTTGTAATCATTTTTTCCGAAATCGACGGTATATATATTTTTTCATTTCCGTTAATTTGCATGTATAGATTTCTACCATCTTGAACCACCACTACCTCGAACCACTCTCCTATCAAAATATGTTCTGTACTCTCAGCTGAGACATGAATTGCTCCCTGATGAAATTTAAGTTTTACTTTTCCTTCTTCTAACAGTAGTAAGATATACTTGTTCAAGGTATCGTCTGGTATAATTGCTACAATACCATTTGTATTTTCTGCTTTTATTGCAAATGTGATCTAAATTATAATCGCGTAATAGGATTTAACAGTTCGCGCAACTTTGCGTAAAGGATTAAACACAAATATTCTTACTTGCCAAAATTCCATATTCTTTGGACACGGTGCAGCAATTGATTCTGTTAAACTAACATAAATGAAACCTTCTTCGTCATCTCCCATTGAATATTGTACGTTATTACTAACGGAAGGAACGCTTGCGTGCTTTTGATTGTATTCCTCCTAAATGATATTTCGTCTTTTAAAAATATTACATCATTTAGAATCGGCTATACTCTTAAAAAATTAATTAGGGCAACTTTGGGCACACGGAGTTGAATCGGCGCGAAATTAATGGCTATTTCTTGAATTTGACCTCGGAATCCTTCTCCTACTTTCATTGTATGATCTAAATTATATAATGTCGGAATACACGAAAATGTAGAAATTTTATGAAGACCATCGTTAACGCTTAAAACACCACGCGTTCCATATATTGCAGCTAATATCATATGCCACTTTCCAATCTAAAAACAATAACTTGTTTCAATTATTAAACTATCAATATACAAAAAAAAAAAAGAACTCGTTATCGTACTTCTAGTTTGTCTTCGTAAACTAAACCCAATGTACAGCCAGAAATTTCAGATAGTAGCACTATTTTTCCATTCTGTAAAGACAGTTTCACAAAATCGCACATTGATCCTTTACAATTATTTTCAGTTCGATAAACGAGCACTCCAAATGGTGCCAATGGTAAAAATCTCAAATACATATGAAGCAACCGTGAAGATTTTCCGTTTATAGTATAAAGAAGACTACTTCTTTCTGTGAAATGTGCTACTTCGTGCGATTTCACTTTTAAATTAAATAAAATTAAAACGATGACAATATTAATCGTATTATCGATAACATTAACGAAATCTCTAATATACCTATACATGGTTTATTAAAACACTGACGAATTTCAGAAGCAGAGCCAAAACAGGATATGCCATTGCCGCTTGGCGAAGGATTGCTACACATTCTGTTTCTGAATTGCGTACCTATACCACAACTCGAAGAACAAAATGTCCAAACTGTCCACGAGGACCACATACCGTTTACTAATAGAGAGTTATAAACAATCATATTGTATATGGTATGTTCAGACTTAGGACTCTATTGTAAAGTAAACTGTGTCTTACCGGAACAATTCTTAATACTGCAACCTTTTATATCTCTAGTTGAACCTTCGCACGAGGTGTCCTGTGTTTTCTGTATTCCTGAACACGAACGTTTTCGTATTTGAATACCATTACCGCATTGTACGTTGCACATGCTCCATTTACTCCAATTAGTCCATGTTCCCACTATTAACCGATAATATCAATTAACGATACATGGCACATGCTACGAATGCATGTACATTCAAAGTACTCGAGTGTTTCTTGCAATCGAATCCTATGCAGCTTTTCAATTCGAAAGCTGGACCGACACACGTTAACTCAGTACGCGATGGTATAGGACTGTCACAGATTCGCGTACGATACTTTTGACCTCTACCGCAATTGGCACTGCACGATGACCAAGCTCCCCAGCTATTCCAGCCTCCGTGTCCTAAACAAAATTGTTTGCTATTTGTACAAAGCACAATCATAATACACATATACATAGTTTTATCTAAGCTTCTTTACTTGGACATCCGACATCGTATTTGACGCAGTTCATAGCATTCCAATAATGCATCTTTGTACAAAGAAATCATTAAATTCTTTTTTTTAGTAGTTAAGAATTCAGCAACAGGTGAAGAATAAATACAGATATAGTTCCTACCGCGTTACTTCCAAGAATTTTCTTTACAAGGAAGAATGTACAATCAATAGAGAAACACAGTTCGATCAGAGCAGGTAACCGTTTATGAATCTCCTTTACAATTTTCATTTCTCCTTTCCGTATGGAATGATTACGAACGGCATATTCATAATCGTTCATCGTACATCCTAAATAAAAGCTATTTAAGCATAATGTTTATAAAGATACATTGATTTGTAGAAGAGCTTTTGAATTGTACCAGTAATTTCACAGCTCTCGATTTGATAACTTGGACCGATGCAGGGACCACCATTTTTAGAAGGTAGCGGATTATTACAAGTACGGTATCTGGTCCTTTTGCCTTTAAATCCACATTTTCCAGAACAGGATCCCCACAGATTCCAAGAAGTCCACCCACCGTCGACAGGACACAAATTATCATTGTTCAACCCAAGTTCGCAATATAGATTTTGCACAGCATTCGATACATCACCTAAAATAACGCAACTAAGAATATGTTAAAATATTGAAATGAATTATCCTACCAGTATAAGTAAGGGAAATTAATTGAACGAGAAATATTAAAAAATACGTCATTGTTGATCGAATATAAGATAATATAAATGAATGGGATATCAAGAAAGTAATCCTATCGTACTATGTCCAAATCTGATAGCACTGTTTTAATAGTTTATATTTATATCATACGTCTGGTCTGATTTTGTTTTGGGTTTGTTTTTTAAATTCAAACCAGTGAATTCTAGTCTTGTTACTAGATGGCGATACACGAGAAAGTTAGGTGGTCATTGTTTTAACAAACTTGGATGTATCGTGGTAGATGGCGACCTGTGCTTATTACAATAATGTTTCCTGTTTTACTGGAAAAATAAATTTCAGATAAATTTTAGTACGAGCCAAAGGTTAGTCATCGCACATTCTTCATCTCTAAAAATAATAAGTACAGCGATATTGTTTAAGTGGCATGTGGCATATAGCGTCTCGATTTAAATTTAAATAATCCATTCTTACCTACCAGATAAATCGGAACCAATGAAACTCTGCGATTTTGCGCAGCCGTAGTAATGTATATGCATGAAATTTATCTGTTGGCGCGAGCGGCACAAACCTCGTGAAACGTTTTATGACAGTAATAGCGTGAAAGTACAATAATAAATTGTTGTAAGTGTTTTTTAATCCGAGTACGGAGATTTTTAAATGTACAGCATTATTATACTTCTGCACATACTTACGTTACTGTATTATTTTTAATATTATTTTAGTTTTACTTGTATAAACAAGTCTAACCTCTAATCGTGGTTTTTGAATGAAAACGTTAAAAAATGAAAGTGTCATCAATGAATTGTTATAAGTAGGAATGAAAGGACTGATTACTAAATTAATAATAATTGTGTAACAGTTTACGTTAGACGTATCGAATGTTTCAATTTTCTATTTTTAACAAAATGACGCAAAGCATAAGATTTGTGTTTATTATACATGTTTCTTGAGATTCAGTTTTCGTTCTCGTGGTACTTGCATATGTATTTATTATATCGATATCAATAAATAATAGTCTAATTAATCTTCTTTTACATAGATCAAATATGACTCTCACAGAAATGGAACCACGTAAAATATATTTAGATGCTCTGGAAATGGCAGGAAAAGTAGTCGATGCTCATATTACCTCAGACAGCAATTTTCCTTCTTTAATTAATCTTATGCGATATAATGTACAAGGTAAAAAATCATTTGTTTATTTTATATTACATTACATTACATTAATACTTATGTATATTGATTTTTAAGGTTTATACGTGTACATTGTTTTGTAGGTGGACCAACTGTTAGCGGTCTCGACGATCATGATTACCCTAATTTAAATGGAATGTCGATGTGTTTCTCGAATATAAATCAGATGAAGCTGCACAGTAAAATTTCTTTACCTTCGGAAGTAATGGAACACTTTAACCGTATCCTTTCGAATATTTTCTTTTTTCGTTTACATAAGATATAGTTCCTTAATGGTTTATTTAGATATGCAATGCCATTGTATGATGGGTCTTTTTACTGAAATTTCGAAAGCATGGCTTACTATCGACAGCGATATATATGTGTGGTCATACGAAAACGAGTAAATATTTATCTAAAGTTTCATGTATCGTCTATATATTATACAAAATAGTTAATGTTTGGCATAATAATGTATTTTTAGAACAGATGTTGCATACTTTGACGGATTAAACGAAACTATCATAAGCGTAGGTTTAGTGAAACCCAAATCTGGGGTATTTCAAAGTTACGTGAAATATTTACTGATCCTCACAACCACAGTTGAAATAACTATTCTTGGAGTAACATTAACAGAAAATTGCGAAGGTATCGCAACTTCGTTATCATTCTAAAGTCATATTTTCTTAGAGTTTGTATTTATTTCGTTAACTTGTGATTCAGGGACATCGTCGGAAATGCAACTAGTACCCGAACCAATTTTCACAGTCACCACAGATGGTATCGGCATTACAACAATAGCGAATACTAGTAGCGGTAGGATTTTCCTTGGCGGTAGAAATGGTTCGCTTTACGAAATATATTATCAGGTAAAATTACTTAAAGAAGTATGAATTCAAAGACGACGATAAACTAAAAATTAATAGCTAACTCTTCCATATATTTATTGCGTAGGCGGAAAGCAGTTGGTTTGGAAAGCGATGTAAAAAGATAAACCATTCGGAAGGTCCGTTATCATTTCTAGTACCATCGTTTGTCACTATAGCTTTATCGGAAGAAGAAGCAATAATACAAATTTCAGTGGATGATTCGCGTAATATTTTATATACCCTCGGTGATAAGGGAACAGTTACAGTTTGGGACATTGATAACGATGGTGCATCTAAAATCGCATCTTTATCGCAAGCTTGTTTAGTACAAAATGCCGTGCATGTTGTTAAGTACGTGTATACGTATAAACGTTACATAATTTTGAATAACGTACAGCCATCGATTAATTAAAATTTCTTTTATTTTAGAACTCTCGATAGCAATAACTTCCGACCATTGGTGAGCATATCAGCTATTACCGAGTCCGAATCCGTACATTTAAACTTGGTTGTAGTTGCAGCTACCGGAACACGTTTTTACTTCAGTTGTACTTCGGTTGCTAATCCAACAACTAGACCTCAAGGTCTTCAATTAATACACGTTAGATTACCACCAGGATACGCTGCCAACGCTACTGTAATGAGACCAAGAAAAGTGCAAATGGCCCATTACAGAAAAGGTGCATATATGTTCGGTGAACGACCAGTGAATGTTCAAATCTATGTAAATATTTATACAATATTTTTATTACAGGAACGTTAATCCTTGTTTGCGGTGGAGATACAGAAACTGCTTTATGTTTAAGTAACGATGCTTATCCATTTACGAACTATTTAGCCGAAACTCAGAGTCCTTTGTCCCTTGATAGTTCGGTATGGGCTATGTCAGAAATTCTTGTAGAACCAGCTATACGTATCGAAAAACAAAGCAGCTCCCAAGGAGAGCCTCCTCTCCTTGTAAGACAGCATATGGAAGCTCCTCGAAAATTTATATTTCTAACGTCTCAGGTATAAGTTGACTACGGTATTTCGCATCCGTTAGACACGCCCTTCTATCAGCCTTTTATATTCTTAATCGCAGGGCGCCATCGTTTTTGTACAAGTTCGTCCAATGGACATTCTGAAACAACTTCTTTTGGAACAACGTGGACCCGATACGGAAGCGGTTCGCGCATACTTTCAATCGCAGTCCCTAGAACAAGCGTGCGCAACTTGTCTGATTTTAGCCACACTTGAAAGTTCGCAAAATGCTGAGGTACTTTTCACAATTAGACCTACGAGAATTTAGTCTCACCGAGTCTATCAGAATTTTTTGGTTAAAAAAATAACCATTTGTTTTATGATATACAGTTGGCGGAATGGGCAACAAGAGCGTTCTTTTTGTATGGTAGTCAACAAATGGCGGGTATTGGTCCTGGAATAGATAATATGCATAATACCTTTGGTAATATAAATGCAGGTATACATGCATTGTATATATAAATCTTATTTTTTCTTCTTCTTTTTTTTTTATTCATATAATACTCGTGAATTTACTAGATATACGTACATCGACACCAAGAGTTCCAAATTACGATTTGAGATTCCAAGGTTTTCGGTCACGCACTTCCGTAGGACTCAATACAGACATCCCCCTACAACAGTTCTCAGCGAAGCACAATGGCTTGTATTTATATGTAGGAAGAATACTTCGACCCATTTGGAATATGCGGTGCATTAAACAAGAAGTAAATAATAAACCTCAGGTAAATTAGTTCAGATTCAGGAATATCGTATGTCAAATATTGTTTTCACTGATATTTTAAGTTACATGTGTATGGAATAATTTCAGATCTCCAGTACTATTTCAGCCGAGCAAGTTACTTGGATTTTAGGACTCTTGCAAGCATTAAAATCGTTTCTCAAAAGGAATACTCATATTACTAAGCAGTACGTATTACATAAATGACTTCTCCATCAAATATATAGTTTGTATAATGTAACTTTTATATTTTCAGACCTAATACAACCAGAAATATAACTGACGGGTTTGATACAACCGTAACTAGTCATTTTCAAGAACCAATAGTCGAAGAAAGAAATTCCTTAGCCGCTTTAAAAATTTTTATTACTCACGCTTGTGAAGTTTTAGAACTTTGGAAAATTTTATGTGAAAATCATTTAAACAACATCATAAATTGTCTGTCGAAGGTAAACCACCTATTTATATGTACGTTGCAAATTTTATAATATTTGCAAGTTCAACAGTCAAACTAATAGTTCTGGAAATTTTATTGTAGGATCAAATTAATCAATTTTTTACAGCAACATTTAGAGATTTAATTTTAATTGGTCATGAAATCTCCTCGTTGCTAATCATTCATCTTATAGATAGGTAAGTTGACTCGATGTACCTATTACATTAAATTACGGTTTCGTTAATTACTGTTAATGTTCCATAGTTATCTCGGTGATAATGCATCGGTTGATGTTGTTAGTCAAAAATTGAGAGAGGTTTGCCCGAATTTATATAGAGACGAGGATGCTGTTTGTTCTAAGGTATAAGAAAAAATGATAGCTGTTAGGTTAAGAAACTTACAATTACAGATTTGATATTTTGTACATTGTAGGCTAACGAAATAATTTTGAAAGCAAAAAGTTGTACGAACCCAGAAGAGAAGGAATGCTACTTACAATCTGCTTTAAAGGTAAATTTGGCGTTAAAGGTATATTTGACCCTGTGACATTATTCATATTTTATATTGATTCGTATTCATAGCTTTGCAAAAAAGTTGCTCCCAGATTGAATTTAAGCGCGGTATGTCAACAATTCGTGGCATGCCAATTTTATTCGGGCGTACTCGAGTTGTGCCTTACCTGTGCCGAAAGAGTTGATCCTAATAACGCCGCATTGCATTATTACAATAATAACGAACCCATCGAAGATCAAGAGGGCCAATTTGCTTACAGGAAAAGGTATTTATAATCGTTATAGAGATATCGTCAATTATCTAATTA